GAGATACTGCCAATATGATTTCATATTGTAAATCATGACATTTTGTTACTTTTTGTGTTCTCCCTGGCTACTGTTTGGATTTCATTTAGACAACTTTTGCGGCTACTGTTTGGTTTCGAGTGTAACAACGTTGCGGGATCGGTTTTGGATCCACCAATAATTATCAAAGAAGTGTATGGAAAGGTGTGTATATTCTGCTCTTTGGTAGATTCTATATCATTCATTTAATGGTACTACTACATACATCCGATATGGCTTAAAGTGCTATCTCTTCCAGATCGTAGTCGCATGGTCTGGCTTACCCTCATTATATGGGATTACCCATGCTCAATTGATCAGCTCTAAAGAGGACAAGAACCAGGTCCAGCCTTATATCTCCTTTAGAGCTACTTAACGTCGACCCTCGCTAAACACGAATTACCCCAATTCAGGTTCCGCACATAAGTCTCCTCCATTAGGTTTCCTTCCGTAACCCATACACTTTTCGTCTCCGTCCCTACTCCTTACCACATTCGGCACCCTTCGACACCCCCTTTAAACAGCAGCTCCCTCCGTAACCCTCCTCTTATCGACAGCATTTTTAGAGGGGAAAGAACCTGAAACAAAATGTAAATAAAATTGCCACAAAAAATGTTGCTGTTGCCTTTGGCAAAGTTTCTCTGCGCCACTTTGACACCTAAAGTGTGCGCACATACGCCTCCACATCCCTTACACACCTTCCGTCGCATACCCCCCGACAATCATTCGCCCGCGCCGCGCCCCTCCAACACTGCACTGCCCTTGATGCGCTTGTTTTTGTTGGGTTTATATGGGAAAGGGTGCGGGGAAGGGGTTGCCCTGTTCGTTTATTTTAATTTTTTGTTCGCCTGCGCTTTCATTTTTATGCAGCAGTGCAAGACAGAGAGAGTAATAGAGGGGAGTAGAGCAATAGGAAGGGCGAAGGAGAGCAGCGTAGGAAGGAGCGCGCGCGAGAGGAGTTCTTACGACCCCTTTAGTGTTTTTGTTTTGTATGATACATACCCTTGCAGAGGGTATGATGATTTAAGCTCTCACTCTCACTCTTCACTCTCTTTCCATCTCTCCACACAAAGCACTCAGCTGAAAGGCAGTTCTCTCCACTGAGATCCAAGCATAGAGTATCTCTAGTTCGACTCCAGCATTCTCCATCGCTGTTTCTGTTTTGGCTTTGGTTTCTTTCAGTCAACAGGCAACATTTGCTGGCACATTTGCCAACCTCCCTCCCCCTCTTTCATGGGCGCTCGCTCCCACACGCTGCTCTGCTCTGGTTATGCCTCTTTCCTCCTGTGCCTGTGGATGTGCTCTAGCTCTGCCTCAGTCGCTGCTCTCCCATTTGGTTGCGTGCTGCTCAATAGGTCTTGCGCTTGATAGGTCAGTGACCCAGTGGGATGCTGATGATGACGTTGCGCTAGGGCAGTGTCAGCAGCAGGAGCAGTAGCAACAGCAGCAGCAGCGAGGGTTGACAGAAAGCTTTTCCAATGTTTAGTTAATTTTTCTGAAAATCAAAGTCAACGGGGGACAGGCAAGGCACCTTCTTCCCCTTCCCAAAAACAGCTGCCTGTGCACACACTGCGGTTGTCCTGTCCGCAGCCTGTCCCTCCCCATTCCTCACTCGTTCAGCTAACAGCGGCACAAGCATCATCATCATCGTGTTCGTTCTCTTCTTCTTCTTCTGCTTCTGCTTCGTTTTCTTTTACTTTTTTTCCCTCGATTTCTTTTTTGCCTTTTCCACAAAGTCAACGTTCTTGACGTTTTCGCAGCTGCCTTTGGCAGTGAGAGGGAAATGGTCTCTGTGACTGCGAGAGTAGGGCCTATGCTGGGGGGAGTGTATCCATCCCAGTTTCTGTGCGTTTGTGTGTGAGATTGCAGCACATGTGACGCTTTGGTCGCGTGCTGCTTCGCTCTTTGCTCTTCCTCTGCCCGCGGTGCAGCCCTGGTCCCAAAGGGCTCGCTTCATTTGCTGCTTCTGCTGCTGCAATTGGCATGGTGGGGGTTAGGCAAGGGCATGTGCAAAAGGAGTGAGTAAGCAGAGGCATGGGCATGGGCATGGGCATGGACACGGTCATATGCAAAGGGTGATTGGGGGTAGAGGCAGCTGTTCTTATCAAGAGCAGGTCATCGAGATGCCAGATGCTGATTGCGGGAGGGGAAATACAGAAAGCCTAAGAAGTTGCCTCAGAAAGTGTAATTGGGCAAGGGGGGTGTACAACATGGGGGTTCAGCGATATCCACATCCTGCAGAAAAATCTGCGATGGGCGTGCTGCCAAAGGTATAACGCGATTTATAATAGCTTGTATAACACTTTACGGACAGGCCAGCAGAGTGGGAGAGCCTCATGCACATATGTATGTACATATATTTATGCGCCTCCCGCACACTTTTCCCATCTCTCTCTCTCTCTTTTAGTGGGTAAGTGATGAAACGGCAAGCGCTTAATTTAACGGTAATTTGTGTAGAACAGGCAGGCCTACTCTCTCCCCTCCGCCATCATCACTCCTACGCTCTGCCATGCTCTCTGCTGCTTCTATGCATTTGTCGTTCGCATTGCGTTGCGTCGCTGTTGGCGCTGCACAGGCGCACAATTTACAGTTGTTTAGCCGCTCTCCGCCTAATTGATTGCTCTCGTTGTTGCTCTTGTTGTTGTTGCTTCTCTGCTTATGAATTATTATTTATTTTTATTGAAGCAGGCGTCGGCAGTGGTAGCGGCAGCGAATGCAGCCAAAACAAGAGAGAACAGGACGGTCGAGTCACTCGACAAGGGGATACCCTGTATTTGGATGCGAAATTTGTGCCTTGGTATCGTTGGTTAAAATCTTAATAATAATTTATTATTCCGCCAAACCTCAGTTAAAATCGGAACACCCTCTGGTAGGGTATTGTAAAACGAACAACAAAATGCAATGCAGAAATTTATTTGTTTTCATTGTTGTTGCTGCAGAAATTGTGTAATAAATAATTTACGCTCGCTTTTGCAGCGTGCCACATAATCATATTCAATAATAATAAAAAAGCAGCAACAGCAGTAGCAGCATGGGCGGGGCCGCTCAGATAGGTTTGGGGGCGGAGGAGTGCAAGTCGCTGACCCAGAAATGTCAAACGGGGAAGTCGTTTTTAATTTTACTCTTTATTTGTTGGGTCTCCTTCTCTCTCTCTCTCTCTCCCTATTTCTATCTGTGTCTCTGTTATTTGTTTATGGGGCTTGTGATATGATTTTCAGTGTTTCATTTTGCCTCTTGGGATTTGTTAGTATTCTTTATTCATTGGATATCCATAGAACACTATATTTGGTTATCAGAATGCCTTAAATTCATTGTTTAAGCATTATATTTATTTAAAATGTGTTTCAATAGTGAAAAAATTAAAGGGACCTTTGATTTCGACTCAAAACAACTTCTCTCATGACTCAATGAATTTCATCATATCTACGAATATTTCTCCCCACCATATCTTTGTCATTGATGTTTAATGTCGTCCCATCTCTTATCCAAGTTTTATTTTCATATTCTTTTTGTTGTCCAATTCGACGGGACTTCCACTCATATTTTGCTTAATCAGTGCCACTCGGATATCAACAGGCAAGTGCCCATTCTCATAACCCACTCCATCCATCCTTGATGCAACCCTCTAGAAATTAGAGTCCCCAAATGAAAAAGCTTCGAGCTGCAAAAACACAAACCAAAGCTAAAAACATACAAATCGAGCCCCTTTTTCTGTTCCTTTGCTCTGGCAAATCCCCCCACTCTTCGTATAGAACCTCTTTTCTCCTCTTTGCTTTGGACTTCTTCGCTTCTTGCATGCTCGTTCATGTTCATGTTGCGCTGCTTTAGAGCGAGAGTATTTTTTTATGAATTTCATCATATGGGGCAATCCCTGCATAATGCATCGTAAGGGTTTCTTATCGGCGATTATAAATGGGCAATATTTGACCTTCTTTGAACCCATTTTGAAGGGAAATATAGACATTAATTACATTATATAGCTAACCTTTTATTTGGATGAGGTTTCAGTAAAAATGAAAAAAATAATCAATAAGAGAATTTGTATTGGTTTTGCGACATTTCCTTTTAGGTAATCATTAAAAGCATTCCAATTTCCAATACTCAAATATCAAAGGAATAATTAAATATTATTTCGTAATTCCTTCGATTTTCTTAATCTTTATATTTTCGCGCGCAAATTTGATTGTGCTGAGTACCCAAGAGAGTGGGAGGGGAGGTGGAGCATAAGCCTGTTTATGGTGGGCCCGAAAGCAAAAACAGGTTTGAAGTCAATTTCTATAAAATTGTATGATGAAATTTATCAAAAAGTAACATAAATTCAATATTTAATATAAAACCAATCAAGTCAAGTTGTGGAAAGGCATAACCACTCTTTGGAATAGCTCTACTTATTCTTATAGGCAGTTTTCCTACATTTTCCTACCATTTTGAGACATTTTTCGTTCCACTAATACTCCTATTTCTACTACTCTTTTTAGGCTCTTAAAAAACGCTCTGCTCTGCCTGGTTCTCTGCAGCACTAGAAAAAAAAGAGAGCCAGTCAAGGGTCCCAAGAGCAGAGCGCTGCACAATCGTACTTTTTGTTTTGCTTTAACGTTCGCTGGGCAGCGCTGCTCCCCGTGCTGTTACTGCGCTGCCGCCTGTTACCTGCTCAACAAGATCTTTGTGCACTCTCTCACAGCACAAAACACACACAGACACAAACACATGCTCGCACAAGAGCCGCCAGCCTGCCTGTCCTGCCCTGCCCTGCCCACTCACTCTCATTTGGAAGAGATTTTTTATACTCTTTGCGCGCCCCCTCCAGCTACCTGCTTGCATGTGCATGTGCAAGAGCAAGAGAGGGAGAGCGAGAACACAGCACAGTGCACTGGCTCCCTGCGCCTACTCAGCGCTGCTCTGCCTCGCAAAGCGTCGCGTCGCCTCGCTGCCGCCTAGCCGCTGAGCCGACTCTGCCGACTGTAGTTTGAGGCGCCTGCCGCCGCCACAAATACTTTTTAGCCGCGGAGCCAGTAAGACGTGTTCACTCCCCAGCCCGAAGACAGTTTCCAGATCTCTGGAAGCGTTCTCTCTTGAGTCTGCGACACACGAACACACACACACGTTTTAAGTTCTTCGACGAAATAAGATAAACCGAATCCCCCATCCCGATATATTGTTTGTGTTTTTAAATAAGTTCTCGTAAAAAGTTCTTTATGAAAAATGCAAAAGAATTGAAAGCAACAAAACATGCAAAAAAACTAATGCACATAAAATAACCAACTCTGAGTGAAATCCAAAAAGAAAACTGCACAAAAAATGCAAAAGTTTCTAATATTCAAAATCTTGCACAAGAAATACAAAATAAATTGAGTGAAAATCGCCAAAAGAAAAACGAGCAAAATAACAACCAAAACGAACGAAGAACAATAACAAAGGGTCAGCCAACAAAAAAAAAGAAACGGACAGCAGGAAGAGGAAAGAAGAGCCAGGCAAAAGCAGAAAGCGCAGGACACCCATCCCCACCTTCCCCAAAAATTCTCAGACTCACACACACACACGGACAATGGCCGTGCCCTTTTATCTGCCTGAGGGCGGAGCCGATGACATTGCCGCGTCGGGCGCCTCGGGCTCCTCTTCGGGGGCATCCTCATCGGGTGCCTCCACCTCATCGGCAGGTTCCTCGGACGGCGCCAGCAGCATTGCCTCACAGTCTCCCAACACCACCACTTCGGCCACGCAGACGCCGATGCAGTCGCCACTGCCCACGGACCAGGTGCTCTACGCCCTCTGCGAGTGGGTGCGCCTCTATCACAGCCACAGCCAACAGAACAACAGCGGTAAGTCCACAAAGATCTTTAGCATTAATTACTCCCTATCGATGGAATCAACGTAAAGTTATTCCCTACTTTGGGGAATATTTTGGAAAAAAAAGCTAAAGTTTGATAGATTTCTGAAGATTTCTTAGGAAATCTGACTTCAAGCTGCATTTTAAACTTACAATCTTTTGGTGTTGAAGCTAAAAATAATGGTGCAGAGATTTTTAAAAATTGTATTTATTATTTAAATGAATTAGAATAGCTATAGGGATTTTCAATTACCTATAAGCATAAACACAATCAGTTCTTCCTCATGCTAAAGTCTTAAAAAAAAGAATCTCTTGTCCGCAAAACTGTCCGCTTCAGCTGGTTTTTGTTTTGCATATCGAAATGGGTCAGCAATTAGCCAAGTTAATCGTCGACTGCTTCAGTTCCGCTTGTTCAAGTTTCACTTTTCAAGGCTGAGATTGTTGACTCATCAGCCAGGTTTTTCTTGTTTTTTGGGTATGGTCAGGTCAGAATTTTGTCAGAGAAAGAGAGCTGGAGAGGGGGAACATGAAATTTGCATTAAATTACAATCGATTACACACGAAAAGAGGCCGCAAGCAAACCGAAATTTTGTAATTGTAATTCAATAAAAATTAATCGAACAAGTGTTCAAAGAGGGAGAAAATTGAGAAGTTATTGAAAGGTTTCCGCTTGGGGGGAGCTAACCGAATAAATGGGAAGACACAGAAATGCAGGGTAAATAAAAAGGAACAAGGGTTGAAGGCCCAGATCCAATTTCATTGGACTTACAAGATAATTCTTTATTGCATTAAGAAAAATAAGTAGATGTCAGGGAAACCTTATCATATCAACTCTTTGGATAAATATTTAACTGAATTTATGTTAAGCTAAAGCTTAAATGAGCCACTCATGTCCATGCGATAATTTGCATACAATTTCCATGCAATAAAACTCATAAATAAACCATAAGAAGCCGCGCACAAATCGCTCCCCAATCACACAAAATTCAACTGAATGCTCGGCCAATTCACAGCCAGAGACGTGTGCTGGGGTGCTGCCAACTTTTTGCCTGACATGCAATATTGTTTTGAGCCACAAAAAAAAAAAAACGAAGTTGGGCGTGTGCTGGACCAGAAGCAGGCAAAAGAAAAACACAAAGAGCGAACAACTCTAAGCCACGTTTAATTGGCACGCGCCAAACTCCGAGTCGAATGTCTTATTCCAGTATCTGGCTATATATCGACCCGATATGTATCTCAATCTCTTAACCTGGCCCCCAGTATCTGTTACTGTTCCACCGCCAGCCAGCTAGTCAGGCAGTCAGCCAACCAGCCAGAGTCGTAACCCAAATTATTAAACGCCATTTGACCTTAGGCAACTAGTTTTCCAGCGGAAAAGTCGGGTCGGAAAAGAGCGGGGGGCGTACCAGTAGGGGTGTGGGCCATTTGCAAAGTGTTTGGCTTAACGGTGGTTTAAGTAGCTTTTGTGTGTAGCCCGCGACTCGGGCGTTGAGTGCGGTCAGTTTTTGTGTTCATGTTTGCTTTGCGGTTTTTTCTTGCTGCCTTTTTTTCCCCTTGGATTTTCTTGCTGTTTATTTTTGTTCGCCTTTTGCATAATAGATTTTTGTTGCTGTGGCCGTCGCTGATTGCCAGCTGCGGTGCAGCTCGGGTGGAGCGGTATTGTACATTTCTGTAGCTGGACAATACATTTTGTACATTATTTTATTTTTGCATCTGTCAGCAACAGTTGGTCCAGCTCAAAAAGAGAGTTCCCGCCCGTCTTAAGGTGTTCGTATGAGTCACCGTTGAGGGTTTATTAATTTATTAATTTTTGAACCATGTCAGATTTAATTTTCTTTGCTAATTGTAATTAAATATAGCTTCTAAGTGGCTTGCGTTTGAACAAAAGACCTTTTAGAACAGCAAAAAGTGCCCCTTCGTTACGTTAACCCCAAGTTTAAAGCAGCGAAGGGGTTGGGTTTGCTCCCCTAATGCGGTACTGTGTGTTGGTTATCCACTCAAGTGGATAATTTATCTAATAGTGACACATCCACGAACTAGTTGAACAATGCTTTAAGCACTCGAAACAAGAACCAAGTTAAACTCCCGTTAACCAATTTTTTTAGCCGTTCAAAATGGGGGGAAAAAGCCTCTACTCTAAGGCCACTAAGATGCGCTTAGTCATCGTCGTCACCGTCGTAGGCTGAACCCACCCTAAAGGACCTAAAAATACCCGAGCAAACAACCCCAAAACCGAAACTCCTAAATACCAGAAGAGCTTCTCTCCCAACAGCAGAATTTCTATGCAGAGTGTCGGTGGGGTGGCGGACCCTTTGTTCGGGCGAGGCTTAAGCGGCGCCCATGTGGACCGAGGAGGAGGCCCAACAAAAGGTGCAATGACAGCAGCATCCTGCTGCGGCATATCCTCTCTTCCCTCCTCATATTCCTAACCTCAATTCACGGCCTCTCGCTTTTGCCCTGACAATTCGCATCATTCGCTGGCTCCGCTTTGGCTCGCTGCTTCGCTGTTGCCAACAGCTGTTGCTGCTAGGCGTTGTTTTCGCTGCCGGCGTCGCAGCCGCACTTGACATTTTCAACCATTTTGTTTTGCTCAGCAACTTCGTGGCAGCTTTGGCAGCACCAAAAGAAATGGGAAGAGAGAGAGAGAGAGAGCGGGACAGCTAACGGTAATGGCGGCAAATATGGCGACCCGTAGGCTCCGCTTCCTGCCTGGCAACACGCGACAGCTGACTCCTGGCGGGATTTTGCGCACAGAAACAGAGAGAAAGAGAGTGAATAGAGAGTGGTTTGGGTCTCCGATTAACCGCAAGTTTTTACACTCATTTTTTGTACAGCCTAACCCAAGGGAAGGAGGACGAGCTGGAGGAGGTGGCATGCATCTGCATTTTGCATCTCGATTTTTATGGCCTGTTGCCAGGCTGATTTATATACCACAGTTTTGTATCTGTGGAGCTGTTTCTGTATCTGTTTCTCTTCGTTTTTCTTTCGCGTCTCTCTGTCGGCTTTCAGCGATTTTTTGTTGTTTTTCTTGTGGCTTTACATTGACCGTGAATTCGTTTCTCTCTTGCTGTTTTCCTTCCTTCCTTCTCTCTGTTATGCAAATTGTTTTTATTGTAAGTATTCTCTTTTGGATTCGTTTTTTTTTTGTCTTTTGTTTGTTTGTAATTGTTTCATTTCATTTAAGTTTATTCGCCTTTTTCCTGCATTTTTTTCTGAATTTTTTGTGCCTTTTTGTGCTTGGGGTTTAATGCCTTCATAAATTTCCCATAAACATTTTTGATGATCTGCTAAAAATTCTGGACGGCACCAAAGCAGCTGCGACACGAATCGAACCAAAAGTTCTTTTAGCCAAATGTTATTTGACCATAAAATCGGAAAGTAGTTTGCTGCAAAACACTTTTTGCCAGCAGCTGTGACGGGAATTTCTCCCTAAGAGTAAAGGATTTTGATGAAGTTTCCGAAGTTTTGATGGAAATTATGTGGATTTATGGAGGGGAATCAAAATGCAACGAGAGTTCAAGATGTATTGTGAGAATAGGTTGGAATTATAAAGATTTTTCTCAGAAAAAATGCCACTGCAATAATTACCATAAATATTATAATATTATAAATTACTCTCTTGGGTTTTAGCTATTAAAATACTTGTAAATTGAAGTATATTTCTATTTTTAAAGCCACAAACTCTTATTTAACATTTTTTGTTAAGACTTTTCCAACTATTTTTTCTCTTAAAACATAATATCCCTTTCATGGCGCAAGTTTGTTTACTTTTCACACCATTCAGCGCAATGAACTTTGTACATTTTTCAAGTTTAAATGCCCGCCAGGCACTTTGACTAATAAGAAAAAAAGTCAACTAAAACCTGACACTTTTCGAGTCAGTTGCAACTTGCAAGCAACACTAAGAAAAGGAGCCACTAAAGCGACATGATATCACGCGGCGTAGACACTGTCTGTCTGTGCCGTTGCCTAAGTTGGCTTTTGATTAAGTCTCCGGTGAGGCCGTGCTAAATTGTTTGCATTGAAGCGTTCGGGTTAAGTTGTGGGGGCTCTGGTGGGCGGGCTATAGTCTCGCCTTTGCTGCTGAAAACGTGCTCAAGTTTTTGTTATGAAATTGAGCCTAGACAAGCCATCCATCCATCCAAGGATCCATCCCAGCAGCTCTGCCTGGCTGCCTGACTGTCCTTGTCAACTCCGAACTCCTTTTCATAGAACAGACTCAGGCAAGCGTGTTGGCTAGGGACAAAAGAACTTGTGCTCAACGCTCAGGGCCAGAAGTGGAAAAGGATATGTATCAAAAGGCGGAAAACTAAGAACAGGATATGCTCTCACACACACAAGTAGCTGCTGCTGCTGCCGTCTGCTACTTGTTATAATTGGCAAAAGGTGGCAAATGATGAGACATGAGAGACAGAAGTTCACTTTAAAATGTTTTCTCTAAAAGGAAACAAACCCAGAGGAACATTCAAGCCAAGAAAGTCATGGAAAATGTTCTCTGAAGACTCTCTCTCTAGAGGCATCGATAATAGAGTTTTGCTATAGAGATTGGAGGTACCATAAATGAGTAAATTTCCATAGAAAACGTTGCACATCGTCTTCCTAATTCTCTCCATAAATTTATTCATACGAAAATTGCCCTTCCGTTGAAGCCACAATTTGCCTTGCACTTGAGCAGCGTGAACAAATGCAAAGGCGATTACTAAAATGTGCAATTAAATCAACAAATAAGAAGCTCATGTAATTGTAGACACCCCCCATGTGGGGTGACAGCGGGTTGCTCGTAGAGATTACCCTTTGGCCACGCCACCTATGAGTGGTCCGTGTGAATGACGCAGCGAAGACACAGAGTCTGGCCGATCCGCTACGAGTCGCGGGTGCCACTCGCAACTGCCGTTGCCATTCATTTATTAATAAACTTTTTTACTGTTGTTTGTTGTTGCTGTTAAGACGTGCAGTTTGTCGATTTTTTGCGGCCGTAGTTGTTGTTTTTCT